CCTGGTCCCAACAGTGAATCAGGGTTTGTTAATAGTCAGGTCTGGAATGAACTAATATAACATTGGCTGGTACTGCTAACATACATCGTTCATTTTCTGACAATAATGCTTGTAACAGTTATGAACACCTGTTAAACAACCACTGTGTCTCCTCCTTTCAGCCGGCTCCTGCTGCTTCATTCTGAACGATGCTGTGCAACCATGACAACAGGCCCCGGCTCCTGATTTTCTCCACAGTGCCATGACTTTATTGGCTGCAAATACTATTGTTTGTGCAAATATGTGCGTGTGTGCCAGTGCCTGTTTGTGTATTTACTATATGTTGAGGTTGAGGGGGGGATTAAGTTATCCTTCAGCTTATCTCCATTAAAATGACTGATGGCCTAGATTTGAAAGACAGTCGCGTCCGCTCTGGCTGGGAACCACTAGACCTTGTAAAATCTACTGATGCACTTTTATCTGCACACGTGTGTTACTTCATTGTGTTTAGTAAGAGTAATAACTCTGCAGTTTGGTTAATGAAAGAGGTACAAGGGGCCTTTTCCTGTTGCTGCTGCCTCTGAGAAACTGTACAGCCTGCAGTTCATCTCAGCATTCACATAATTTGCATATAGATGAGAAGAATATCACATTATTGCTTAAGGGGTATATTAATAAAGGGGTTGTTGAACATGATATGGTCCTGTACAAGACACTTGTGCAGATGCTGAAACAGGCTGAACTTATAGTGCTGCTTCTTCCTCCTGCATGTTTCACATCCCTCTGCTCTTCAGCAGCCACGCTATTTCTATTGTTTAAATTTTAATAGATATAAAGATATAAGAATTTGTTATCTGTGTGGCTCCAGTGAGGATTTCTAGATTACACCTCCCCAACCAAACACAAAAACACAACAGGGACAGAAAAATGGCTGGACCTACAGATCCCCACCTACAGTTTCTGCTCCTGCTGGTCTACCACTATTTCCTGTCCATCATGCTCTAAGACAGATTTCACAGGCCTGGTGGATGCGATATAGACAACAGGCACTACTGTATCTCTTTTTCTCACTTTGTTCCACACATACACAAAGAAGTACTTTGTTGAGAAGATTTAGTAGTACACTCAAAAAGTAAAAGAAAAAAGGTTGTTTGAACAAATACTATGCAAAAATGCATTTGTTCAATGATTAATTTCTTATTTTGCTCAGCCCAGCAGGTGGGTGACATATTATTTTCCTGCTCTCAGTCTTTTTTCAAGCCAGACAGTTGCATAACCCACTCCTGCCACAAGAATATGGCATTTCCAGATTATGAACACAAAGACAGCACAGTTATTAAAGGAATATTAAAGTCATGACTTTGTGAAGCTAGAGAAGTAATAAAAGATGTGTTCACACTATAGAGACCCAAGAACACAGACTGAAAGAGACATAGCTGCCAAGACATTCTTTGAAAAGCTGTACAAGCGTGGGTAGACAGGGGGTGGGTGGGTTTGGACAATTTATATTATTGCATAGGCATAGGTATTTTTAAAGCTACATTTTCCACAAAACAGTCATGTCAAATCAATGAAGCTGAAACTGAGAAAAAAATGTTAGAATTTTTTTTTTAACGGTTAGGCTATATCCATATTATGAACAAACAGGTTTTCACTTGTGGCTTACAAAAAACTGCATGTATACCTATTTGGATGGCTTAATTCAATGGTATGGTTACAGTTGAGATGCTGCCAAATTGATCACACTATTGAATCAGCACCTCTAAAACTATTTGAACGTAAACTAAACATGATCACGTTTTACGAAGGGGAGATTTTCTACTACTGTTGATTTAGACCCAGGGTTTTCAACCAGTGGTTTGTGTCTCCCTCGTGGTCCCTGAAGGCACTGCAAGTGGTTCATGACCATACATTCGCTAATGTAGTTTCACTATGGGAATCACAATTTCTTATTTTTTAAACACATTTCCATGTATCAATTATTGTTTGTGAATAATCGCAATTTTATTTAAATGTGTAGAATTTAGAGCAGCTAGGGCGGTTTTCAGGATTAAAATAGTGCCCATCTGGTATATCCACAGCCCTGCGATGGATTGGCGACCTGTCCAGGGTGTACCCCGCCTTTGCCCGATTGCCGGCCGGGATTGGCTCCGGCACCCCCCGTGACCCCGTTCAGGGACTAAGGGTAGAAAATGAATGAATGAATGAAATGGTCTATCCACCATACAACAATGGTCCCTAGGTTGCTTAGTCACAGTGGTGGTCCTTGGGTCAAAATCCGTTCAAAGCCCATGCTATAGACTGAATTATCTTTATTTCCGTGTACCTTACAAAGTGCCAGCTAGGTGCAGAAATGTGCTGTTATTAGATGCTCAGTTTAAACAATTTTATGAAAGCATACTGAGTTAAATGAGACAAAGTAACAAGGTATTGGAATTGAAATAAGTCAACAAGTGAGTTTTAAAAAAATCATTTAATGAGTTGTGTCTTACTAAGTTATTTTGATGTATTTTTTCTTTTCTCTTTCCTTAAATATAAATAACGTGTATTTTATTATATTCAGTTTTTGAGATGTATTAAATAAATATATATTCCATTTTATTTATATGTTTATTTAAATATAAATAGAATGGAGTTATTCTATTCCATTCTTATACCCCTGTCTCCGCCCCCGCACTGTCGTCACGATCCGGGCAGCCAATGAGGCAGAGGGGGGCGTTCCACAGTGGCGCCGCAGCGCTGAAACCGGAGCGGCTCTCGGGCTTTGTTTTGTGTACGTGAATGAGCTCCATCACCTCCTTTGGAAATGTGGACGGATATAAGGCCGTTGCTACTTTTTCATTTGTTACTCCTGAGGCTTCATTTATCCGAAGGTCAGTGCCGTTTCCCCGCTCCCCCCGTGCGGGTGATAATAATGAAACAAAATATATAAGGTGGCGAGTGTGTGTGAGAGGTGAGAGACTGGATACACTCCCGGTACTCGGCGTGCGCGTGCGCTTGATAAGAGAGAAACAATACTTTCCTTTATCGTTACTTCTCAGAATGATGGCTTATTTGATTTTAAATGCGTGGTAGATTTTCCCCTGCATTCATTGGCATGGGTTCAGGACAGGAAAAGCATCTCAGTGGCTGGCAGGCTTTCCGGCTGTGAGCATCCGTACTGCATCAGTAGTAGGCTAGTCCAGACTGAATCTTTGTCTGCATGTTGTGGAGAATTATGACCGGCAGACCCCGGCCCTCCTCTGTTTCTCTTCCCCTGCTTTTCCCAGAACTGCTTTCAATTATCCTTAAAGAGCAGATCAATAAGTGAAGGAGAAGCCCAGAGCCTCAGCCAACTGCCCTGAATGAATGCTGGGTAGCAATTAGACATTCGCTTGCAAATGACAGCTGAACTACCAGGCTTGCTCCACCAGCCCATCAGTTTGTTGCTGACCCATCTGAAAGCTCCTCTCCCCCTCTTGTTTTTTTATTTTCTTCCAGCAACGGACGAGTGTGAGGATGGACAGTTTCAGTGCAACAACAAAAGGTGTATACCGACCATCTGGAGGTGCGACGACGATGACGACTGCTCAGACAATAGTGATGAAGAAAACTGTCGTAAGTGTACAAATCAGTGTGGATATAAAGGCAGACAAGTTCACTGTGGATAAAGACCTCCAATCCAATTTCTGCAAATATCACAATAAATAGGAATAACCTACACATAATAAAAAAATCAAGACTTAATTAGATCACTCCAGTCCTTCCTAATGCTGCCCACCCACAACAGTTTGTGTTCCAAAATGGGCACTAAACCAGATCCCATTGTGTTTTTCTCAGCTTAGACTTTTTTAAATCAAGTGTTGGAAAAGTTAAAAAACTAATTAGAGTGAAATCATTAATCTGATCTTGAGACAATACCTGGAACTGCTGCTATCAGCTCTCCATTAGAGCTTGACTTAATGGTCTGTTCATGACTTGAATGTCTATTGAAGCTGCCTTAACGAGCTCTATTTGGTCACAGTGTTAAGTTATGGACCAGAAAATGCATTCAGTAATGCTTTATTTTACAGGTCTGTAAATTCCATTTTATTTCTAAATAATTTCCTAAGAGGTTTCCTGAAAAAAAAAACCCCATATAATTTGGTACTAATTACCAGTACAATTAGAGATTGATCAGCTTGTACACTTCCAGTTATTGCTAAATGCTATGCTAGCACAAACATGAGGCTTTCTTCAGAGCACAGAAGGTGAACCACTCATGCAAAATGATAAATTTGTCCTCAAACAACCATCCAATTCAGCATGAATCAAGAATACCATTTCAAAGAATTATTAAATAAACAGCAAATATTAACTGGGGTTTACACTGAGCAGTTTCTTTTATGGAAATTCATCTGGAAGCCAAGATAAGGTCAGTACACATCAGTGGCACAAATAAGAGAAAGCCATTCTTGGAACTTTGTCTCTATTTTTTTGTAATTAATACCAAACTACATGGTTCTTTACAGGAAACATTTATGGAATTATTGAGAAATAGTGCCCTGTAAAGGCATAAAAGGTTAAAGAGTTTATGAAGAGCAACAAATCGGATCTTATTTTATTATTTTATATTATTTTGACTGGGGATTAGGCATGTGTGTGTTTGTGTGTGCCTCAGGCCCACGGTGCGTGTGTGCAGGTGATTTCATCCCTTCTGTTCCTTTATTTAGAAGGCTCAACAAGCCTGTTTTCTTAAAATGAGGGCTGATTGACCATTTTCCGATCATCTTCAAATAAGAAGCTGTCCAGCTGAGAGACAGATTGCGTGGGGCACTGGTCTAGTGCACAAAGCTCTGACAGGTATCTTGGACGTGTCGTTCTGTGCGGAAATAATAGAATTCCAGTTTCTTTTCTGTCTGTGAGCCAGTGGCCTATATTTTAGAAGAATGCCTGTGCTGAAACCAGCGAGGCTGTGCCAAAGCTGAAGCCAAGCTTTGCATGTTTGCTGTATGTTCTTTTGTGTCTGGGTTAATTGTGGCCCAGGAGGAATTCCTGCACCTCCCCTCATGAACATATGTCTATCCTCTCTCTATTTCTCCTTGTACCTCTCTCTGTCTTTGTTTCTATATCTCCTGCAATCCCCCACTCAAACAAACCTGTCTGAGTAAGGGAGCCCCGTCTAGAGTATGTGTGTTAGCCCAGAGGTGTTGCCATTGATGTCCTGTCTCTGAGACCAACAGGACATGTCCTTGGGCGTGCCAAAAAAAAAAAAAAAGCAATATAAGGTCATTTGGAGCATCTTTGTTCCTAAAAAATTCATGTCACTCCCTCACCCTCTAACGACCCTCCTGATGTTCAGGGGAAGTCATTAATCTGTCAGCCTTTATTTCCCCCGTCTTTTTTTTTTTATGAATGAAACCGAAAATTGTCAACAAGGTTTTATTACCCGCTGTGTTTTTTCCATCAGGCAGCGCTTCTGACACATTTAGGGTCTGAGTGAAAACACTCCTCCTGAAAGCCATTTAATCTGAGACTAGTGTCAACCCACCATTTGGTGGTTATGACAGTCCAGCATTACTTGCCATTATATTAGCGAGCGGCCTTCGCTTTGTGTCCATGTCCTCTCCTTGTGTGGGTTGCTGTATCTGCGTGGGTGGGCACATGAGGCGGGCTTGTTTCTGTACCGGCGTCCTCGTGGTGTTGGACCACTGACTGAATTAACTTTTGTTCAGTTTCTAGCTTGTTTGTTTTGGAGAAGAGGTTCTCTGGGAGACTGCAGCTCTGGCAGGATTTAAATGAATGTATTACTATTAAAATCAATCTCAAGGTTTGCTTCTGTAAAGCCTTTTTCTATTTCTTCATCTGAGGAGGCTAAAGACAGTCAGTGCAGAGCATTGGAGTGTAAACCTGTATGACATATGTTGCACAGGGGGAGACGGTGGCGAGGATTTAGCCCGTGCACACAATAAATCCTGAGCTAAGATGACAGTTATTTCTTTGTTGACTGTGAAGTGGTTGCACTTTTTAAATTAAATTTCTGAATGGCTGAATGAGTTGTCTCACTTTTTTATTTTGCTTGTAATGACACTGTTATTTTACAACACAGTGCCAAGCCCAAGAATCCAGTGACTGAACATGTGTAACAGACCGTGGTTATGAAATATGTCGACAGGAAGAAACCTCATTTCTCATGCCAGTGTCGCCTTCCAAGCTGACTGGAGCTTGTTGTGGAGCCTCACTGAACAGGTGTAACATTCTTAACAGACTGTTAGTGCTCAGGCCAGGATCATACCCTGTGTGGACCATTGTCCAACCTCCACCCTGTTTCTGTTAACCCCATCCCCCACCGGCCAACCCCCAGACTATGCTCCCATCTTTCCATCTATCTCACCATCCCCCCTCATCTAAACTCTGTTCCCCACCGACTGGTCACCCACTGCACCCATGCATTCATACTGTACACGTATAATTGCACTCAAAGTATATGCGTGGACACCAGTATGGACCAGACACATGCATCGCCACATAGAGCTCAAAGTGTTTTTTTGTTTTTCCTCTGTGATTCAGTCAGCAACAAATTCTTGGCCCCCTTTCTTTTTATTCTTTTACCGCACTTTCAGAACGGGTGGTACCACTCCACTCCTCTAACAGTTTTTTAGGTGCAGGCTCCTCTGCTCCAGTCCTGCCAATACACCATGAGCAAAGTTTTAGAATCACAAAGCATACTCTTACACCTTTGATTAATGATTATTCAATGATTTATTCAATAGTTTTTAAACCTTAGCTGGTGTTTGATCAGACATCTGACACCAGTATAGGTCAGAGGATTTCTGAGTGAAACCTTCAGTCTGAATCCAGTGTGCTGTATCTTTAACTTATGTCATTGTCTTCAAGGATAAGGTTGGTCATTTTATATATTAGTATTTTCAACACTCCCCATACAGCGACTGAAACCAACAGTGAATTGCCTGTACTCACGGTTAATGTCTGTGCCATAGGCCTCATTATTGTTCAAGAACGAAATGAAAACACATCAGTGAAACCCACCGCTGCACTGGGTGACACGTTTATTTTCATTATGAAACACCAGACCTGCATAGTTATTAAAAATGTTGCCCCAAAGTCTGATCTGGCAAGACTCAACTGTGCATGTGTGAGATCTCCATGTGAGGACTCTGCTTTGTTGACACTTCACCAGCTCCTCGTGCTTTCATGGAGATCTCACACATGTGCAGTTGAGTCTTACTACGCGAGACTCTGGGGCAATATTTTGCCTGCAGACTCTCAAAGTCTAAGTTGCAAACTGAAGAGCACTCACAACTTGTTTTGTGCACTTTCAAAACGTTTGGCACAGCCAGACTTTCACACAAACCCCAGTGGAGAAATTTGAGAGGACAGAATCAGAAACGAGAGCACACACGACCTGGCTTACGCTCTCAAATCTGTAGTTGCATTTACAAATCTGTGTCTGCATGCTCTCACATGCTGAGTTGCAAACTGAGTGGTGCTCAAAATATGGTTAGAGTGCCGTCAAACATTGTAGTGGTGATCTACTTCCATAATTTGGCCATCATGTGCCACCAGAACAGCTTCAGTGTAGAGCAGGGATTGGACCGCATATTTCTGTTTTAACCCGACCCGTGCCTGAGAGTTAACGTACCTGATGAGCTTAAAATACATAATGTCCAAACCCAAGGCAGTTGAGTTTGTATGGAGTTTTCCTCCCTTATCATTAAACAAAACAGACATTTGAGTGCTCCAGCTTCCTAGCCTAAAGTTTGACCTGCGTATCTGAACCCAACCCAGACCAAGCATAATCTCAAAGATTTTGTCCAAACATGGCCCAAACTCTTGCGTTCGTGTCCTGTTGAGCTCTGTTTAGCTATCCACACTGTACTTCAGTGCACCCTGGCATTGATTCTCCAAGTCTACTGGAATGACGAACACCATTCCTCCCAGTGACGTGCAGTCAGGTGAGGCAGGTGAGGCAGAGCCTCCCCTGTCAATCTTGAAAAGAAAAAAAAGTTAACCATAAAATATAATAAATGTTAATATTTGTTGGCTGGTGTGTGTTGTAGGCCCCTTTGCCGTTCGAATCCGATGTTGAAGTAATTTTTTTCAATAAAGAATAGCAGAATTTCCGTATTCATTCATTTTCTACCGCTTAAGCGGGGTCACGGGTGGGGCCGGAGCCAATCCCGGCCAGCAATCGGGCGAAGGCGGGGTACACCCTGGACAGGTCGCCAGTCCATCGCAGGGCTAACACATAGACAAACAACCACACACACACACGACACGCACTCCTATGGGCAATTTAGAGACACCAATCAACCTAAGCTGCATGTCTTTGGAGTGTGGGAGGAAGCCGGAGTACCCGGAGAGAACCCACGCAAGCACGGGGAGAACATGCAAACTCCACACAGAAAGGTCCCAGGTGGGGCCCGAACCCGGAACCTTCTCGCTGTGAGGCAACGGCGCTAACCACTGTGCCACCGTGCTGCCCGGCCCATATATTTAGTCGGTTATGTTAAACAGTCCATCTTGTTTTTGCTTTACTTGGTGCCTTAATTCAGATTCTTGTGTTGACCGATTTTCTTATATCTTGGTCCCTGGATGGTGGTTTACAACAGCATCTG